TAGGAAAGATCGAAAGGAAAAATATCGAATATTCAATGAACAAGACATTCTTAATTTTTGTGACATGATGCTAACATCATAATACAGACTGCACACAAGTCACGAAATAAAAAGAAAAGAAAATTTTATAAAGTTTTATTTTTTTTTGTTTAGCAACTATAGATGACAAACCACGTAAATATTCCCTTACATTTATCAGCTCATTATAATATCGTTCATTAAAATTATTTATACATTGTTGAACTGTTATTATTTTACTCTTATAGTGAAGTGAGTATATATTCTTTTTCTAGAGGTTGACAGTCACATTGTAATAAATTGATCATTCGAATTTTATGAAAACTTTCAATAAGCTTACATATCAAAACAGCTGTTCGGTATGATAATATATTTTCATTTGTATAATACTATTTTATTTTTCTGATTATTCTAGCTAGCTCTTTTCTGTCAAATATTACTCATCATCTTTACTAATACAACTTTTTTTTGAACATTTTCTTGTTGCAACATTTTTCTTTTCGATCTTTCTATTACTAGAGCCAAAAATGTTTTTTAGTACTCTGACAAATAATACGAAAATTAGATACTAAGATAAATAAATAATAAATCATTATAATACCCAAAATGATCTATAGATTCTTTTATGTATCACTGAAAATTTTGCGAACGAAATTTTATTTTAACTATCACCATCCTGGCATAAAAATTATGTATTAGGTTTATAATAATTTTAGACATTCAAAGCTCAATTTTCAGAAATGTTCTTTTTCAAGTTCTTTTATATACGTTATCTTCCATAGTTTTACCCATTGTTTCAAGCAAATGGATTATTTGGCAAAATCAAAAACAATTTGACTTCATCAATGAGACCAGAAAAAGAAGAGTCAAAATCTTCTAATATATTCTCGAAAGACAATATGTCTATCAAAAAAAGAGACACATGATGATGATACTCTACGGTATCAGCAAGAACAACGAGTATCTGACAAGGATAAAAGAAAGAAAAAGGGTGTGGGTGCACACTTTAACTTACTCCAGACCACAATCGCACGTACACCCTTAAGAATGACCGAGATCAGAATTGAACAATTCAATGCAAAAAGGTTGATTCAACTTAGTTCAAATCTTAAATTGAGTGTAATCACCTCATAACAATTTTCAAAATTGATGAATTCAGTTGAGTTGAATTGACTAAAACATTTCAGAAATTGCAAGTTTAGTCAAAAACCTCTCTTTAAATGAATTAAATTAAATTGCATGTAGTTGGTCGTCTGTATATCCTAGATGACTAACTCTGACTGAGATCTTAACAATCTTTAATCGTCTCAATTAACTTCTATTCCTATCAGAAACTCTTAATTCTAACAAAGCTATAGTCTTTGAAATGAAACAATATTCTTACAGCTAATGTAATAATATCCGCAAGTTTTTGAGCAATACTTTGATTAACAGTTAATGAATAAGCTTTTGTATCTTTTATTTGATTCATCGCTTGTTTTTTAATTTCATATGATTCTTCAATTAATTTTGTTGTATCTTGAAATACTTGCATAACATCTGATGTAAAAGCAAGTAAATTTCCAACAAATGATAAACTATTTTCATTCAATAATGTTGCTTCTATTGAAATATTTGTATTATTTAAATTTGAATTAGATGAAGTTATTGAATTATTTTGAGGTGTACGTGGTAGACGAAAACCAAGAGTTGATAATAGTTGAGGAAGTACTGTCAATGGTGGTTGATGTTGTTGTAAATTATCTAATCTATAAAAACAAACAAACAAACAATATTGCATAAAATGATTATTTACTTTTCAAAAAGAGCCAATTCAAATGTTCTCTACCAATTTTAGTTACATGTTAACGAACTTCATCAAGTTTCTAAATATTTTAATTAATAAAAAAAAATCATTCAAGATTTTTTATATCTGTATTTGATCAATAATATTAAATGATATTTTTCTGCAGCAAGTCTATCATCAACACCATCAGGTTCCTATTGATCAGAATACAAATATCTTTTAAAAATATAAAATAAAACTAGCGCTTCTCGTTTTGTTTTTTTTGTATTTTAACACTCTCTTTATTAATTATTAAATCTTTTCGAATATGTTCAATAGTTGCTTCTATATATTCTTTATGTTTTAATAATGATTTTATTTCTTCATTAACATCACTCCAACATAAAAGTAATTTAGCAACAACAATACGACATTGTCGAGCATAAAGAAAAGCTTCTGTATTACTCAATTCATTAAGCATGTCACGTACATATGGTAATGGATCAATATCTGAATTAAATATTTATATTGACTTATTTTTAATTGAAATATTATCTTTGCCAAAGAGAATATTTTGATCACTTTGTTCAATCATTTTTAGCATTAATACGAACGTCAGCCATTGTCTCTTGTCGCCAATTATCATTACTAAGTAAACTTCGATCTAAACATCGTAGTTGTTGTTCAATTATAGGTGGTGATGGTCGACTTAGTCTTTTTATTCGTTTTTGTTTTAATGGTTCCTTATCAAATGTAAGACTTCTTGATAGCAATTGTTTTCCATTCTTATTATTAGTATGATCATCATCATCATCCTCAATTAATGATGGTCTTTGCATTTGACATGGTGTATTTGGCCGAGATGAATTTGTCATCTTGTTAAATTTTAATATTGTTCCATGCGAAACACATCAAATTTTTTTTTCCTAATGCTTTTGTATATGGCGGTTAAATAATAAAAAAAATGTTCTCTTTTACAAAATTGATGTTAGAGAATCAGTAACCATTATCGATTCGATTTCTATTCTTTTTTTTTCTTCTTCTTTTTCTTTTTACACGCGACTATTTAAAATTTTTTCTATGCTTAAAGGCATGCAACGGCTACACGTATTTAATTGCTTCAAGACTAAACATCAGCAACATTTCATTCAAAAAGTCCATGACAACCAAACATATTGACATATGCGCAGTAGGTTGCTGTTAAGAAAGTGGTAGGGTGCGGCTGTGGGTGTATGTTCTATCTATAACCACACTCACATACACCCTCGATAAGTATGGTGCCTCTTGAGCACCAAGTACATTATATTGAACAATCAATATCGTCAGTTCTTAGGCGAAATAAAGAATATCTCAACATGAGATAAATAAAAGAAGAAGTTAAT